GTGGGGGAGTGGGGGAGTGGGGGAGTGGGGGAGTGGGGGAGTGGGGGAGTGGGGGAGTGGGCTATTTAGGGTTTGGTTTAGGGTTTTGGGCCTAGGGTTTTCGGCCTAGGGTTTTGGGCCTAGGGTTTTGGGCCTAGGGTTTTGGGCCTAGGGTTGTTGCCTAGGGTTTTGGGTCTAGGGTTTTGGGCCTAGGGTTTTGGGCCTAGGGTTTTGGGCCGAGGGTTTTGGGCCTCGGGTTTTGGGCCTAGGGTGTTGCGCCTAGGGTTTTGGGCCTAGGCTTTTGGGCCTAGGGTGTTGGGCCTAGGATTTTGGGCCTAGGGTTTGGGCCTAGGGTTTTGGGCCTAGGGTTTTGGGCCTAGGGTTTTGGGCCTAGGGGTTTGGGGGTTTTGGGCCTAGGGTTTAGGGTTTAGGGTTTAGGGTTTAGGGTTTAGGGTTTAGGGTTTAGGGTTTAGGGTTTAGGGTTTAGGGTTTAGGGTTTAGGGTTTAGGGTTAGGTTTAGGGTTTAGGGTTTAGGGTTTAGGGTTTAGGGTTTAGGGTTTAGGGTTTAGGGTTTAGGGTTTAGGGTTAGGGTTCGCCATTGAAGTTGGTGCCTAGAGATAGGGCTTAGGGCTGAGGGCGTAGGGCGTAGGGTTTAGGGTTTAGGGTTTAGGGTTTAGGGTTTAGGGTTTAGGGTTTAGGGTTTAGGGTTTAGGGTTTAGGGTTTAGGGTTAGGGTTTAGGGTTTAGGGTTTAGGGTTTAGGGTGTGTCAGGGGAGGGCGCGCGCTCGGGCCCGGGCCGCGCGCTCGCGTTGCCCGTCAACCCACTCCGGCCACCCAAACTATACTCTATTAGGGTTTAGGGTTTATGGAATTTATTTTCTTGTGCTCTGATCCTTGCTTTGATGTTTTTAAAGTTGCGCTGTTTGGGTTTAAGCTGGGGTTGGGGGTAGCCTCGGCCCTTTTCGGGCCTTCGGCGTGTCAGGGCCCGTAGAGGCCCTTATTTATTTGAAGGTCAGGGAACCCTTTGTGTCTGCTCCTGGATTCCCCTTCTTTAAGGGCCTCAATTAAGCATCGATTTCACTATCAAAAAATCTCATTTTTCATTGCGGGTACGGGCATCCTGGGGTCCCCCTTCTTTTAGGGGGCCTTTTGAAGCCTTTTGAAGCATTTTGGTGGCTCTTGGGGTCGCTCGGGGCCTTGTTCGGACCTTCGGCGTGTCAGAGGTTTTATTCATTTAAAGGTCAGGGAACCTAGTCATGAGTTTTTCGCCAATGAGTATTTCAATCGCTAGGGTTTAAGCTCGGGTTCGGGGTAGCCTCGGCCCTTTTCGGGCCTTCGGCACGTTAGGGCCCGTAGAGGCCCTTATTTACTTGAAGGCCTTCGCAGGGTTTTGCGGTGTTAGGGTTTAAGCTGGGGTTCGGGGTAGCCTCGGCCCTTTTCGGGCCTTCGGCACGTTAGGGCCCGTAGAGGCCCTTATTTACTTTGGGGTTCGGGGTAGCCTCGGTCCTTTTCGGGCCTTCGGCACGTCAGGGCCCGTAGAGGTCCTTGCTGATTTGGGGGGAGCCTCGATTTCAGTACTAAAAAAAAGCAGTTTTTTGGGCGATTTCAATAAGGCCTGTGGGTAGTTTTTGTATGAAAGCCACCGAAAACCAGAAAAACCAAAAACCAAAAAAAGACAAAACACTCAAAAAACATTTGCAAAAAAGAAAAAACAAGAAGCAACAACAAAGGCAAAAACGCAAAAAAACTTTATATTCCAATTATTGTATATAAAAATGATAAAAATGTTTTAAAAATGTTGTTCAAAACGCTCAAATTAACGAACAACTTCAAATATTGAAAAATCTCAAAATGATTACTATACAATTATATATATATATAAGTAATAATTATATAATACTATGATAGACGATAGACTACGTAAAACCAATGTGAGTCAATGAGATCTTCCTTCAGGATCAATGTCAATGTCGTCAACAACTTCAAATTCACCAATCCCGACATGAAACATGATTACAGCAGCAGCAGCCACAACAACAACAACAACAACAACAACAACAACAACAACAACAACAACAATCATCACAACAATCACAACAATCACAACAACCACAACCGCAACCACAACCACAACGACCACGACAACGACAATGACAACGACAAGACAACATGCATGATACATGATGCATGCATCGGCAGCTTTGCTAGTAGCCTAGTAGCGGTCTCGGACCTGGACCGACTTGTGGTCTTATCGGCTTGCTGTTGCAAACTGCGTGACTGCAGGATTAAGTGACTTAGTGCGCCAATCCGCTCTTGGCTCTGTTGGCTCTCGGCGAGAGTGTGTCAGATGGGATGCATTGGCTGCATTGAAGTAGCTGTCTGAGCTGGCAACTTTGTCTGGAAACTCTAGTCACATTTAGACTTAGATCTTTGGAATGGCCTCGGCTTCGTGCCCAGGGTGTCGTCGCATCGGGCACTACGAACTCCAGCATGATGTTCCATTTCCCATCTGGTGCCGGCAAAGCTGGGGCAGCCAACGTGAGCAGGTCGCATTACCTGTTGGCATCGACCTCATCAAGGTGCCGCTGCCATCGCTGGAGCCGCCCTCTTCTAAGTGTGACCTGTTGGCGAAGGAGGCGTTGGAGAGCGGGTATGCTTCTATGGACACGTTCTCTAAGTTGTGCACCCTCCTGCCAAGGGAGCGCGCGAGGAATGTGGTAGCGGATGGTGGTGCTTGGTGTTCTGAACATGAGCCGGTTAGCTTCACCACTGGTGCGTATGTGTTTGGACAGATGGTGGGTCTCAGATCCAACGTGCATCGGCATGCATGGCTATCGACTTTTCTGGCTGTCTCTGTGCGCAGTTGCACTGATGAGCCATTCAGCTCGGTGGCTTTTATGCGAAATGTTCGCTTTGGCATGCACTCTGATGCCAATAACTTGAGGGGCAGTCGCAATACGTTAATTCCTGTTTCCAGGTTCTCTGGAGGCGAGTTATGGGTAGAAGATTTCAGTGGGCCTGATTTAGCCTGTGATGGACGCACGCTGGGCAGGCGTCTTCCTCTACAATTCCCAGGGGTTGCTTTCGATCCGCAGAAGAAGCATCACTCCTGCGAGTGGCAAGGCAAAAGGATTGTTGTGGCTGCTTTTCATATTCGCGATCTTCAGCTGATGTCTTTTGCTGACCAATGCTGTTTGAAGTACTTGAATTTTCCTTTGGTTTCTGTGAGCTCCTTGGCCATGGAGTGAAAGCCTGTCCAGTAGTCTCTGACTTATCATGGGCCAGCTGGCAGGTTACAGTATTGCTCTCTGAGCTTGTCGCAACTGGTCTTTCCGTGCTCTCTGAGCTTTATCATTGATCATTTTTTCTACTTGTCTGTTTTTCGCGCTCAGTGCAAGTGCATGTGCTGCAGCAGCGCAGACTATGTGAGCGCGCGAGTGAGTTCGTGTGCAAGTCAGAACTCAGGTGACAGTGTGTACGGCTGGCGTGCATGTTTTCATTGCTGGTTTATGATTGATTTAAGACATTTATGATTCATGACAATTTATGTTTTCATGTTTGCGCGCAGAAGTGCAGTACGTGTCTCACGCTACTCACTCACTTGTTAGTCAGGCTTGTCATTGTTCATTGTTGTCTCGAAGCCAGACAGTCACACAGTCAAACAAAGCCTCTAACTCTAAAGCAAAACCCAACCAAGGCTGCGACTCAGAAAAAAGCGCGCTCCTGCCAAGCAGGCTGTTGCCATCAGTCAGTGTTCATGAGATCGAAGCGACAGCTCTCAGTCTTTGTGTGGCCCAGCTTGGACCTGGTTCAAGGACCATACTGAGCGAGAGCCTGAGTAGACTACATAGACGAAGACGAAGTCCGAATTGCAACGTATTAATATTAGTTTTCAGAATCCCCACGAGTCTGGGGCCTCAGCATGGATTCAGATGGCGAGGGGCCTGGGGTCCTCGAGCTGGATGATGTGTTGGGTATTCTCAACGATGCCCAGGCTTCGCAGACGGGTGCTGCAACTGGAAGTTCTGCCAGCGTGCGGAAGGGCCTTGTCGGTCTCAGACCTGGATGGAAGCTCGGTCTCAGACCTGGTAAGAAAGTGAAGAAGAAACTAGACAAGAAACAAGCAATGCTGGACAAACAGGCCAGGTCATACAATGCCAGCGGCCGCTCTAGAAACCCAGATTACCACATGCCTCTGCATGAGCACGGCTTGCAGCGTCAAAAGTCAAGTGGGCGCGGTGCTTGGAAGACTTGGTCAGTTCCTGCCATTCTCAGAGCTGGGTTTAGTGCAGAAAAGAGTGCGCAGCGTCACATTGCAAGCTCTATTGAAGGCGCTGGTCAGAGCCATGCGGCTTCAAGTCGCCTCGTCCTCGCGCAAGCGATTTTGACAGGGCAAATGAAGGGCCTCAAGAATCTGTCGACGCAGGTCTCGGACCAGGCTCCGGTCTCGGACCAGGCATCTGGCGACACCCAACCCCTGAAGCTCATGTACGCCATCAAGAACATCATGTTCGACGAGTCGACGTTTGATTTGAGCTTCAGGGATGGGATCAGGGCTTCCTATTCAGTGCTTTGCTCCCATGCTCAGCTGACTTACCGGGTCGAGGGCAGTCATGTCGTGCGTGATGAGCACATCTGTAGGAGCCCTGCTGTCCTCAGCCCTGTCATGAACTCCGCGACGATGCATGCAGCCCTGAGTGCTGGCCCAGGTGGATTCACCCAGACGCTCTCAGAGCTGGTAAGGTTTCGGGCCACGCTCAGCACGTCAGATGCCCACGCTGCAAACGTGAGACTCTTAAAGTACGTCGACCAGTCGCTGGATCGGGATCACTTGTTTATTCCTTCTCTTTGCCTGCAGCACCGTGTGGGTAACATCGTCGAACAGCTTACCAAGTTCCTAGGCAATTTGGGTGGGAATTTCTCGATCTCGAAGGTCCTCAACAAAGGCAACCTGCTTAAGGCCTTGCGGCAGAAGGCCTCTGCCATCATGAAAAATCCAGAGAAGCTTTTAGTGCTTGGTGAGACACCTGCTCCAGTTCTTGAAGAGTGGTCTCAAGCCCAACTGTGCGCCCATGATCTGGTCCAGCTTTGCATGAGTTTCGATGATTCAGAGCACGCCCGCTCAGGCACCCACCTGGAAGCTTTCCAGCGATTCGAGAACTTCTTTGCTGGTCCTTGGACAGGACCGTGTGGGGCGACTTCGGGCTAACCAACAGTCTGCTTGTTGAATACCCGTGTATCAGAGTATCAAATAGAAAACATTCATATATATATATATATATATATATACACATGACATATTATATATATATATATTCATATATATATATATATATATTTATTTATTTATTTATATACGACTCATGTGTGACTTCGTGTGTGACTTCATGTGCCTCATAGGTTTTGCTTCTTGGAAAGTGTGCCAGCAAAACCCTGCCGATTGATGCCAATATTATTGGCTCAGATAGTGAGTGATTGGCAGTGATTGGTTGACACTGCTTGATTGTGGTTGATTGGCCCTTCTGGGCCGCCGAAGCCATGACTGATTTTGCTCCGCTGGACTCTCGCAGTCGCGCTCTTGATGAGTACGCCTACCCGACCGATGAGAGAGATGGCAAGCGCAGCAAAGAACTCAAGGCGGCGGCGGTCTCGGACCTGGCCAAGATCCTCGTGACGGACAGCTACGGGGCTGGTCGCAATCTGCAGAAAGTCTGCTGGGACGCCTACAACCAGAGGCCAGTGTAGGGCACACGCTCTTGAGTGCTGCGCAGTCTGGTCGTAGCGACGTTCAGTTTAGTTTTCCTTTAGCCTTTTAGTAGCAGCCTTTCACTTTCGCGCATCCTGTGGCAGGCATCCCATGCACGTGGTCTTGGACCTTCCCAGCGGCGGGCAGCTTTGGCTGGGGGGTGGAGCAGCCAGTGGCCAGATCACGGAGTTGTTGGACAATGGGATTGCCGCCATCCTGGCGGCAGCCGCGTACCCACCAGTCGTTCACGACTCGAGGATCGAAAGGCTGGGCACGTACGACGGGACAGGCCTCGCTGCCGGGGATATCGACAAGGGCTTGATGATCAAAGTGTTCCAAAGGATGTTGAGGTTGCTTGCTGCAGGCCGCAAGATACTTGTGAGCTGCAAAAACGGGGCTCACAGATCAAGTTTTGTGCTGGCCCTCTTCCTCATCTTCCTGACGGGCTGCCCGCCAGATGACGTGCACACCTACTTGAATAAGCTGCGGGGTCTCGTTGACCTTGGCTCCATGGCGCCCGAGTCGAAGCACTCGAGGGAGCGCAGGCCGAACGTGGTGCCCATCAATTCTCTCCGCAACATGCACACGTTCTTCAGCGCGGAGGGCCTTCGCTCTCTGAGCGCCTTGAGCAGGCCTGCCCAGCTCAGCCTGGGCTTCAGGGACGCCGAGAACCGAGTCAAGCTCAACATGTTGATGAGCCCTGCAGACTTCGAGGCGATGGCCCGTTCCCTTGGGTGGGTGGCCCTCTCTGAGGCCAGGGAGTGCAGCAACTACTGCTATGCCGTAGGCTAGTTGCAGGCCCTGAGCGTGCAAGTGCTCTTGAGACTCCTGCTGACTGCTGATTTCTAGTTCTGAAGCTGAGCTGACTCAGTCTGTGCACTTTGTTTCGGAGAGAAGCGGTTTCTGTTCAAGTTCTTGTGCCAGGTGGCTCTGAGCTCTTCGAGGGCTCAGCGCTCTCGGAGCGGCGATGATGCTGAGCCTGAGCGTGAGCGTGAAGAGGCTCGCGGGAGAGCTCTTCTTCAGAGTCGCCCCAAGATGAAGGCCAAGGCAAGGCGGGCACGCGGCATGAGCAGTGGACTGTAATAAATTAGTAATAAAAAACTCATTGATGACAACTTGACAATGTGACAATTTGACAATTCAAGATGAGAAAGACGCTGTTTTATATTTATTCCTATATAGCCAATTGCCAATTGCCAATTGCCATTGCCCTGGAAGGCTCGACCGCGCTCTGCTGGAGCTGGTGCCGCTTCTTCTGCTTCTGAGGACAGAGGTTTTTAGTCAGTGATTTTGCGGCTTGAACTTCTGATTCTCGAGGGCTTTCTTGACTTCATGTTCAGTCGGTCAGTCAATCCTTCACCGTCGCTCGCTGTCTGCGAAGCAGTGAGTGAGTAGTCAGCTCCAGCCTTTGTGAGGATGGTGCTTCCTGGATCCACGTTGCCTCCGAGACCGAGATGACCAGCGGCATGTCGACCGTGGAGTCTGTAGACCTGTCCGGAGTCTCCAGTGATGGAGAAGTTGGGCGGTCTCTGACCGGGAAGCGCAGCATCCGCGAGGTCCGAGCAGCTGCGGCTCCTCCTGCTGGAAGTCCCAAAGGTTCATCTCCAGCTGGAACCCCCGAGCCAGGAACCCCCAGGGCAGGGTTTGGCCAGGAGGACTTCGAGACTCTCAGGGGTCTTGTGTCGGAGCTGGGGAAGTTGGACCGCCAGCTGGCAGGGAGCAAGAAGACCTCACCCTCAGGGTCGATTGGAGCTGCTGCCGAGGTCGTCGTCGACCATGCTGACGGTGACTGGGGTCTGCAGCTGGCAATATTCAATCTCAAATTTTTCAATTAAACTACATATACAAATTCAAATACTTCAGGTCGCCTGAGCCCTGAACCCTGAACCCTGAACCCCAAACCATTTCGCTATTAGTCTACAAGTCTACTAGTCTAGTGAAGTGGAGTTGAAGTCCATGGTCCCTGTGTCCATCAGTTTAGTCTGCGCTTGAGGTGAGGAGATGGTGGACGTGGCCGTTGAGGTGGAGGTCTCGGACCGCGACGACAACCCTGCGGGGTCTGCGGCTGCGGCTGAGGATGTGCCGCAGGTGGAGGAGCCAAACACGAGAGAAGAGGTTCGCAGGCTTTGCCAGCTCATGACGGAGCAGCAGCGTCACATGACTCAGCTGCTGGCCAGGCAGACGGAGAGTGAGGTCTCAGACGGCTTGCTGGGCCTCATCTTCAACGGCCAGGAGGCCGAGGCGCTGAACATGGTTCGGAACCTGAGGCCGGCTGCGCTGGCCAACATGGCTGACCCCAGCGGCATGAATGCGCTTCACTGGGCAGTTCGAACCGCGTCCCTGCCCCTCGTGTTTGCTCTGCTCGAGAAAGCGCCGCAGCTGGCCAACGGCACCACGGGCATTGGCAGAAATCCTCCACACTGGACTCCCCTCATGATCCTCGCAGATCAAACTCGCTCTGCCAATCCGAACCACCAGCAGATGACGTCTGCGCTGTGCTCCCACATGTCACTGAATGCCTTGATGACAAGGGGCGGCACGCTGGCAACGGTGTCCCACCTGGCAGCTGGGAGGGGCAATCTTCATGTCCTCAAGCGAGTGTTATGGCGCATCTTCGACTGTGGTGGCCAGGAGGCAGTGATTGCACACTTGGCCATCGCCAACAGCACGGCATCTAGGCAGCAGTATGTTCTATTCCAAACTCGCAGGCACACTGCCACGGTGTCCAGTGTCTGACAGTCCGTGATTAGCTGCTCGCGCGTGATTGAATGAGTGCTCGACCAACCGAGGGCAAGTCTTGCTTGGATGTGGCCTTGAAGTGCAACTCAGACTTGGCCCAATATTTGCGTTGGTGGCAAGCCCCTTCCTACCACCCGGCCTCGGAGCCCTGGGAGAGAGCTCTGCATCACCGTGTCAGGCTGGGCTTTGCTGCTTGGAACTTGTTATTTTGCCTTCTTTTGCAGTAACAAATAGTAACAAAGCTGAGTGTCTCGTGTCACACGTCACATGTCCCATGTCACCATGTCATTCGGAGTCAGTCGCGCACTCATGATGTCTCAAGTTCTGAGCAGGTGAGACGTCGGTCTCCGACCTGGCCTGCCGCTGTGGATGGTGGCTTGCACCCCGACTTTGCCCATGTATATAGCCTTTTTCCAGCATAGAGCTGGCGTAGCTATTGGCAGATTGGCAGGGTCGCTCTTTGAGCAGGCAGCCTCGATTAGTCGACGACTTCTAGCACTAGTGCTAGGACTACTACTACTACTACTACTACTACTACTACTACCACTACTACTACTACTACTACTACTTCTACTACTACTACTACTACTACTACTACTACTACTACTACTACTACTACTACTATTACTACTCCTGCTACTGCTACTACTACTACTACTACTACTACTACTACTACCACTACTACTACTACTACTACTACTACTACTACTACTACTACTACTACTACTACTACTACTACTACTACTACTTGATTAGTACTAGTACTAGTAACTAGTACTACTACGAGTACCACTACCATGACCCACTACCGCTACCACTACCACGACCACTACCACTGTTACCACTACCACTACTTCTGCTCCTGCCACTAACTACCAGCAGCTCTACTACTACTGTTTCTGGTAGACTCCTTGTTAGGCAGGCTTGAAGTGAGGCTGCTGATTGCTCTCAGAGCGGAAATTGGAGTGGACTGCTTTCCTGTCACGAGCGCCAGCATTGCCATCACTTGGCGATGCAAGACAGCGCGTCAAAAAAGCCCTGACCTTTGCTTTGCTTGCCTGTCACAGCGTCAGTCGAGTGCTGAGCAGCTAGCAGCTAAGCGTGGACGCCCCTGCTCCCCTAAACCCCTGTGACCTTGCCTGAAACTTTTGCTTCGCAGGACGACCGGTGCACGTCTGCCGCGACAACTGCTGTCAGACGCTTGCGGAGTCCAAGCGCAAGGCCGTGGACCTGTTCAGTGAGTGCCTTCTTCGCCCAATTGCAGTTCCTGCCTTGAATAAGTGGACCAAAGTATTCCCTTGCGTTGGCGCCTGTGTTTTGCTGGCGGCTTTCAGCGATATTGGCCAGCAAGCATTCCAGCAGCAGTTTGGCCGGATAGGTGCTGCAGAAGCGCTCTCTGAGCAGGAAAATTCGGGGGACGCAGAAGATGAGGCTCTGAAGGTCCCAATCAACGAAGTAGAGAGATGGAAGAAGTTAGCCAGGAAGCGAAATGCCAAAGCCCAAAGGTTTCTTTGTGATGATGACTCCCGCTTCGTTAACATGCTGTGGTTGCACATTGCAGCCCCTTGTATGAAGCTTCATTGGATTCTATTCAAGACTTCCACTTGGCATTCAGATCGCCCTCAGCCCAGAGGTGATGAAAGCTCCGCTGACGTTGTGCTGTCCCTGGGCCAATTCTGCTCAGGACCTGGCAGCCCTGGCAACAAGGTCATTCGCGATCTTGTGCGTCAACTTCGGGAGCCAAAGGCTGCCTACAGGGTGTTGTGTTTTTTTCATGGGCCATTTCAGGATTGGCCTCAGGCCAGGAAACGCATTGCATTAAGGTCAGTGCTTATCACATTGGGGCAACTCATCAGAAAGGTTGTCGAGCCTTTTTTGACGTATCCCTGGAAACTCTGGCCTCTGGCCGATCCAGACGCTACCCAGGACAGCGCGCGCGTCTGCGCGGAGGAACTGTTCCGAGCGCCGGGCTGCTGTGTGGATTCAGGGTGCTCTGCCAGGATTCGATCCACTTCAGATGTGGCTTCGTGTCAGGATGCAGACTTTCGAGAATTCCTGCAGGCTGTTTTTCAAAGAGTTGTCCTGACGTCGACGTTCATCGAGCGTAAGTTCGCTCATTTTTCTCATTGGACCGACGTGAAAGGCCAGGGGGCTTCTCTTGGCCTTCTGGCTGCCAAGCACGTGACTCGATCCTTCAGGGATGCTGTTGAAATTTGGAGACGTAGCAAGCTAGGTGAAGCCTATGCTCCGCATCAGAATCTGTCTCGACCTACTTGGTGTAGGAAGGAAGACACGGTGGCAAGATTGAATGGTTATCACCTATTTTCCAAAGACTTGAAAGAAAGTCAAGCCACGCGCTGCAGAGGGGCTCAGGAGTCTTCGGATTTCTTGAAGGATGCCACCAGGCAGTGGAAGGCTTTGAGTGCGCAGGACAAGCGAGCTTGGAGTGAGAAGGCAAGGGCGCACAATGCTCGGAAAGCGGCCCTGCAGATGGCCGAGGCCCAGGACAAGCCGCCTGACCTGCCAGGAGGACCCTGGAAAATGAGCACAGCGTCTGAAGGCTGGCCTCTGTCCGAAGAGTACCTGAAAGGCTTTCTGGAGTCTTTCGAAGACAGCAATGCCTTTGCTTCTGCCCGAAGACAGTGGGTCGAGGCAGGCCCTTCGAGCACTCTTCGTCAACTTGTGCTGAAGCTCTCACTCCATGTGCAAGTAGTGAAAATGACAAATTTCAAATTTAGCATTACAGCTCAGTGGGTCAATAACTGGCGGAGAGGGGTATGTGTGAGCGCTGGCTTTATCTTTCTCCGAGTATCTATCTCTCGATCTCTTTATGTCTTTATCTTTATGTCTCTATCTTTCTATCTATCCTTTTGACTCTATCTCTCTATCTCTCTATCTCTCTATCTCTCTATCTCTCTATCTCTCTATCTCTCTATCTCTCTATCTCTCTATCTCTCTATCTCTCTATCTCTCTATCTCTCTATCTCTCTATCTCTCTATCTCTCTATCTCTCTATCTCTCTATCTCTCTATCTCTCTATCTCTTTTTCTTTCTGTATCCCCTCTCTGTCTTTGTTTCTTTTTCGTTTGATCTTCTTTCCTCTTTTTCTCTTCTCTCTTTTCCTCTTTCTCTCTTTCTCCTTCTTCCTCTTTCTATCTTTCTCTCTTCCATCTTTTCTCTCTTTTCTCCTCTCTCTTTCTCTCTTTCTCCACCTCCAGATCCCCTCTTTCTCGCTTTCTCTCTTTCTCTCTTTCTCTTCTCTCTTTCTCCTCTCCTTTTTCTCTCTCTCTTTTCCTCTCTTTTTCCTATTTCTCCTCTTTCTCTCTTTCTCTCTTTTTCTCTTTCTCTCTTTCTCTCTTTCTCTCTTTCTCTCTTTCTCTCTTTCTCTCTTTCTCTCTTTATCTCTGTCTCTCTTTCTCTCTTTCTCTCTTTCTCTCTTTCTTTCTTTCTCTCTTTCTCTCTTTCTCTCTTTCTCTCTTTCTCTCTTGCTCTCTTTCTCTCTTTCTATCTTTTTTCTCCCTCTCCTCCCTCTCCCTCTCTATCTCTTTTTATCTCTTCATCTCTTTATCAAAGTCTTTGTCTTTGTCTCTTTATCTCTTTATCTCTCGTCTCTATCTCTCGATGTTTTTATCTCGTTATCTCTCTCTCTCTCTCTCTCGCCTTCTGTCTGTCTGTCTCTCTCTCTCTCTCCCTCTCTCTCCCTCTCTCTCTCTCTCTCTCTCTCTCTCTCTCTCTCTCCCTCTCTCCCTCTCTCCCTTTCTATTTCTTTCACTCTTCTGCGACGCGTTGTACTTGCTTGCTTGCTTACTTTTCTGGCTCAGGCACACCAAGAACCGGAGCCTGTGGAGGAGGACTTGCCGTTGAGGGAAGAAGGGAACCTTTTCACGGTTTGCGCTCCCGGAGGGTGTGAGGCCCGGCTCTCAGAGGATCAGAAAGTGGTCATGAGGCGGCTGCACACAAGCTTGACAGTTTTGGTGAAGCGTTTTGACCCTTCCAAAAAGAACATCAGCGCGCTGCCACTGACATTGTTGTGGCACTCGAGAAGTAAGCGCAGAGGTGTCTTCACCACGCTCGCATTTCGCACATACACTGCTCACTTGGACATGATTCTGCTTGAAATGCAGTTGGACAGCAGTGAGCGCAATGATTTGCCAGAGCCACCATACAGCTTGAAATTCAAGATCACCGAGTGTGGCACGGCGGCTTACTTTAACGATGCATCGCTCTGCGTTACTTTGGCCAGCTTGAGCGACGATTGGACCGTGAGCCGCTTGACTCTTGGAGATTTGGGCGAGACTTTGAGCTCTCTGAGCGTGGAAGGCATCCTGCTTGAGGATATTGATGAGCTGATAAGGGATGCTGCTCGACTGAAGGAAGAGGAACGCGCTCTCAGAGCAGCAGGGCTCATGCAGAGGGCTCGAAGACAAAGGCAAAGACCAGTGCAGAGACCCAGAGCAGGTGCTCAGAGGGCTCGCCCAGCTGGCAGAGGCAGACCCAATCGCAGGGGCCGAGGACCGGCAAGACGGGAAGCGGCTTATGAGGAGGGAGCAGCAGAAGAAGAAGAAGAAGAAGAAGAAGAGGAAGAAGCTGAGGCCGAGGCCTGGCTCGGGGACGACGAGGGGGGTGGAGAGCAAGATGATGTGTGGGGTTTGAGGCAGCCCTGCGATGAGCCGAGTGAGCCCAGCGCCCCTTCGGCCCGCCCCTCTGAGCCTAGCGCCCCTTCGGCCCGTCCTTCCGCCCCTTCGGCTCGTCCTGCTGCTGGCAACCCTGCAGGCGAGGGTCAGAGTCAGGGGTCATCTAGCAGAGCGGCTGCCGCTGTCTCAGCTGGCCAAGGCTTTGACTCGCTCTTTGAGCGGAGGCGAGCCTTTCGCCGAGTGCGGCAAGACAGAAGGCGTGGGCTGCCGTGGGGCCCTTTTCAGCTGCAGCCCATCGTTGCAGCAGACGGTGAGCAGACTGGCTGGGGGGCGGTCTGTGGGCAGCATCATGACCGTGATGGCTCTAACCAGTGCAAGAAAGCAGTTTCCTCTCGACGTTTGGGTGATGAGACCTGCATGCTCCGGCTGAAGCGGTGGCTTTTCGAGGGACTCAAAGACGATGACTGGCCGGTGCATGCTCAGAGGACTCATCATGTTGGGCTGGGCGGCCGTGACTTGCAGGACTTTGCTGAAGGGCTCTCCGAGCGCGAGATGGACCAGGCCATGGCCCGCTACAGCGACGCTGCCGCTGCAGAGCAGCGGTCTAGGAGCGCTGCCTGCCGACACAGCTGACACGGTCTGTCATGTTTGCTTGTCAGTCGTCAAACACCAAGGGCCTAAGCGTGTTTTTGGCTCAGTTTTTTTCGTTTTGGTTGGGCTTGTCGCTGGGCTGCCACAGGACCTGGCCACAGTGCTCTTCGCTGTCAAACAGACCCAAAAAAAAAATTCGCGAGCGCTCCCGCGTAGGGGGCCCGCCCCCCAATGGACAAGGGTGTTAGAAATCGTTCGGTCACGTCTTTGCGTGCGTTTGTGTCCAGCCAAGTTTCTGAGTCTTCTTGAATTTTTGTTTTTTTGAAAACATTTTTAGTTTTTTTGTTTTTTTGGAAAAAACAAAATCTGAACGTTAAACGGCGTTTTAAGTTCAGAAAACCAGGTTTTAAGTTCAGAAACCAAGGTTTTAAGTTCAGATTTTGTTTTTTTGAAAAAACTAAAAAACTAAAAAAAATTTTTGGAAAAAACAAAAATCTCAAAAAAACATTGTTTAAAAATACTGAAAAACAAAAAATGTTCAACAAAAATAATCGCCGATCGCGAAACACTTTGACATTTTTCAGCAGCGTCTGCGTCTAGCCGACATTTAAGCTAGATCATCCCATCCCAGCCCACTGAGTGCAGAGACCCTATTCGATTCACGCAGCCCCCGGCAGGCACAGCCGCTCCAGCCACTCCAGCAATCAGTAATCAGTGACAGTCAGCCTCAGGCTTGGAGCTGACCGGGCTTGGATGTGACTGCTGCGCTTCTCGCAAGAAGGGCTCTTAAAATGTGCTGCGCTGCGCAAGCCAGGTAGGCATGAGCCTTGAGCGCTCACTTAAGCCGTTGAGTCGCTGAGCCTTCTGACTCTGCTTGCTGCCCGGCCCAAGCTGCCCTGAGACATGGGCAAAGTGTGATTGTGTGACTGCCAGGCACGTGCTTGGAAGCACAGCGTCAAGACGCGGCTCTGCTGGCCTGCCGACATGGGCAGCGACAGCAGCAGCAGCAGTTCGGAAGACTCGTCTTCTCACAACGAAAAGAAGAAGACGCGTGGGAGAAAGCGGGCCATGAGCCCGATCGCTGTGGATGAGGACCTCATGTCGCTCATGGGCGGTGGCGGTGGCTCGGTCAGGTCCAGAGCAAGCCGGAGATCAGTGGGGAGCTCGTGTAAAGAGGATTACTTGCCCATTGACCACTCAGCTGCCAAAACTTGCAAGTGTGGGTTCTGCGGCTGCTTGTCTTCCGACATGTCGCCGCTACTCGACCCTGAGGCAGGTGATGATGACCGAGTTCCTTGGGGCAAGTATCGCAAGGTCGAGACAGACTCAGGCTTGGTTCGGGTGCCCACAGGCACGCACGATGCAATTTGCAAAAATCTTTATCGCTTGCTCGGCTACGAGCATAAGCATGGGCCACACTCTCTCTACCTCAAGAAGGTCGAGAGCGGCAGCGTCGACCACACGAAGTTCTTGTCAGCCCGGGACGAGTTCCTCAAGAAGCAGAACAAAAGCGGTGGCAAGAAGTTTCGCAGTGGCAAGAAAGATCGCGAGGAGTTGAAGGCTGTCACGACGCTCAAGACTTTGAGCCAGACAGGGACCAGATTCAAGGGGCCTGAGATGACATTCGTAGATGTTGCAGAGTGGTCACCTAGCTACGGGACGCTGGACGAGAGCAAAGTCGTGGAAGAGGTCATTGGTGGAAAAACTGTGAGGGGCTGCTATGTCATGACCGGCAAGAAAGGCCACTACAAAGTGCAGAACTACGAGGACAGAGCGTGCCTTGTAGAAACAGAGGAGCACTCCCGCAAGGATGCCAAGGAGATCTTTGCGGAGCAAGCCCTGCAGAACAAGACCGATGCCATCAACTCAGTGCTTCAGGAAGTCCAGAAGGAGCGCGAGGCGAGCGTTGTGTCCGCCAAGATCATGGACACTGATGGCATCCTGGCCATGCTTGCCAGCGGGGCCATACCGCTTGGAGCAGCCAGCGCTGCTTCTTCTTCGGCCTCTGGCCTGGCAGCAGACAAGTCAGCGGGGGGCCAGAGTGCGGGTCAAGGCCATGAAGAGGACCTTCTCAGCACTGACCAGTCAGACAGTGACGACGGCGCAGCGGTGCAAGCCCGCGTTGCAGCTCTTGGGAGGAAGACGAAGTCTGCCAAAGCAGTGGCCAAGTCAAGGCCGTCTGCGAAGGCCGCCCCAGCTTCATCCTCCAGCAAAGCCGGCAAAGCCTCTTCAAGAGCTGCTGAAACTGTTGCCCTATCGGTCGATGCACCGTCGCTGGCTAGGAGCAACCAGGTGAAGCTCGACGCCCCGGCCGAGCGAGGGGATGCCCAGCCTGACGTTTTGGCCTTAGATGGGCGAGGCTTGAGGCTTTGCGAAGCTCTCAGGAGGGAGCATCAGAAGCTGGCAAATGACTTCTCGCCACTTTGCTTGTTTGGCAACGACTATAACTTCACAGAAAAGAAGCCTCACGCGGCCAGAAACAAGCAGCTCAGCGGCGTGTCGTCTTCAATCACCAACCAGATCAAAAGAATCGAAAGCAGCGCCAACAAAGCAGCATTTCAGACCGAGCACAAGCAGTTTGTAAAGCTGAAGGAGGCTGTCACAGCCGCTGTCGAGTTCAACAATGCCTTGAACTCAGCAACTTCTGCGCCAAAGGCTTTGCAGGAAGGCTACGATGCACTTTTGCCTCATGGCCTCAAGGTGGGGTCCTGCTTTTGGTTCAAAATGCTCGAGAGCAAGCTGAATGAGAAGATGACCTTCCGCAATCTCAAGGAGTACGGTCAGGCCTTGGCCGCAAACTCCGCCGAGGCCCTTGGGGGGCCTCGGGCTACGATAGTCATTAGTAATGAGTAATCAGTAAGTAGTAAGTAGTTATTAGCACTTAGTAATTCGTAATTCGTAATCGGTAATTGGTACTTAGTAATTAGCAAGTAATAATTAGGAATTAGCAACTAGTACTTAGTAATTAGCAATTAAAAGTAAAAAAACTAGTAAGTAGTAAGTAGTCATTAGTAAGTAGTAATTAATAATTAGTAAGTAGAAATTAGTAATTAGTAATTAATAATTAGTAAGTTAATTAGTAACTAATAATTAGTAATTAGTAATTGGTAATTAGTAATTAGTAACTAATAATTAGTAATTAGTAATTGGTAATTAGTAATTAGTAGTTAGTACTTAGTAATTAGTAATTAGTAAGTACTAATTAGTAGTAATTATTGATTAGTAATTAGTAAGTAGTAAGAGGTGATTAGGAATTAGTAATCAGTGATTAATAATTAGTAATTGTTACTCATAATGAATCAGTGCAGTATGGTGCTTAGCCAAAGCAGTGACTCCTAGGGCTTTGGGGTAAGCCAGGATGCTGTCAGTAGAGCAGAGCAGGCCCGGAAGTCTAAGGCTGCTTCGTAATTGGACATGGGTAATTATTAGCATTGAATAGCTCATCAGCAACCATGAGCGCTCAGGCCGAGGCCATCAGCTGCTTTGGCATGGGACAGGAGTTGAGAGACTTCGTGCACACAGACGTTGAGGCGAGAATGACTTCGTTCTTGAGCAAGGAGGAGGTGGTGAAGCATGGCTCATGGGGGCGAGAGCAAGCGTTGAGTTTGGCGACAGAGATCTGCGACGCTTTTGACGCTGGCAACAGCCTTCTTTCAGCAGTGGCGTTTACAGCCAGGGTCGTCAAAGACTTGTTGCAGGTCTCTGACCTTAGTGCCACGAACTCCGCTCTTGAGCGCTTCCACAAGGCTGAGCAAGAGGAGATCTTGGAGGATGGGGTGGTTCAGTTCCTGCAAAAGCACAAGACAGGAATGGCCATCATCAGTGACTGCCAGCAACGCGTGGAGCACGGGCAAGCTCAGCTGCAAGGCGAGCTATTCGTCTGCAACCTTCAGGAAGCTTTGAGTCGGGTTCAAGCTTCAGAAGGCGAAATGACCGCAAGCGCCGTCTCCGACGTGGTCGTGCCGTTCTGGAACATCAAGCGTAGCAAGGACGAGCAGAAGCTGACCAGCAAACACAGGTTTTCAGTGCAGGGCATGCTGAAGGAGTTCTGGCAAGTCGTGCAGAAAGGTGTCCACACCATGCTGTCGAGCACTTTGACTACGTGCTTGGAGTCCCTCGTGGAAGCAGTAGTTGCTCGGAGCGGCAGCAAGCAGCCTGACGATGTTGACGCCCACTCTAGCTTGGACATTGAAGAAGTGTTCAGAGCCATGGAGTGCGCCGAGCTTACCAAGCACCAGTTCTGGGCGGACACCGCCAAGGCTGCGCCGGCAAGTCTCGCGAAGGACAGGGACAAGTATGGCTCTCTGTGTGGCGAGATTGCTGGGTTGGCCAGGTTTGTGTTCAGCAAGAAGAAGATTGGCCCAGGCCGCGTAGGCGACCCAACTTCAGATTGCTTGAAGCAATGGAGCACTTGCGACGTGGCGCTTTCTCGCTACTTGGACGACTCAGGCGATGATGAGTCTTGTCAGTCTGCCATCCAGGCCTTCAAGCAGCACTTCGTCCAGGCCGCAGCTACAGAGCTCCAAGAGAAGGCTATGGCAGCGTTCCGCGCTGTTGGCGCCATGGTGCAGAGCTGTGTCGAGTCGGCTTCGAGCCTGGAGGAGATGGCAGCTTCTCTTGCAGACTAGATTCTTTTCAGCCTTGTTGACCCAGTATTGCCAATATGAATCTGAATATGATTATTGCCCCCAGTGAGTAGTAATGTAGTGGCGCGACTCGCAGCGTGAAATAATGATCCCAGGATTTCGCTGCGCGTAGCGCTGGCCTTTGCTGTTGAGGGCTTCGCTTTCAAGGTGGAGCTTAAGCGGCTTAAGGGGTTTCAATTAGGTTGAAGTGCCTAAGTTAGGGCTGCAGCGACTATTAGACTCTTAGGTTACTTACGTTGCGAGCGCTCTAAGGTAGGATTTGGGGTTTAGGGTTTAGGGTTTAGGGTTTAGGGTTTAGGGTTTAGGGTTTAGGGTTTAGGGTTTAGGGTTTAGGGTTTAGGGTTTAGGGTTTAAG